GGACTTACTACGCCAAGTCCGCCAGCATCTAGAAACTCCTTAACAGATTTCGCATCTTCCCATAGCCACTGCACTAGAAGGCACAGGTAGCAGACTATGAGTCGGTCCCACTCTCGGACTTCTCTCTCGTTTGCCGAGTCTACTCGCGAACGTGTGAGGAAACATAGAGAAAGGTTTTCGCTCAGGAGTTGTAGAAGGCTTTGTGGAGCATCCTCGTCCTCGGGCTCCGTGACATTCACAGGGTCTGGCACGGCATCCGCAGGAACGAAAAATTGCCCCTGAGACTGCTCCACAGACGGACCGGAAAAGGGAGGCTTGATTGACCGTGCTAATGACTTTGACCTAGAGGAGGAAGAAAGCAGAAACGAAAATAGGAGTGTCGCAAAATGTGTTGTCATGAGGTTTGCGATGTTCAGAGGGGACGCTGGGGGGAGACAAAGAGCATGCAGCAGCGGCGAAACCGCTGGTGCGTCGGTCGACTCTGTGATGGGTAAGACACGTCTAGCAGTATTCCTTACCACTTACCTTGCGGGGAGAGCATTCCCTGCACTATTGCCTGTTTAATCTCGTCCTTACGAACGAAATTCTGCGATGCAATGTGTTACGAGGCAGACGCAGGCGAGAGAATGAACTACATACACCAAAGACCCCCAGCGCTGCTGCCCTCAAATCAAGGGAATCTTTCAAACGTTTGTCGCCATAAAGCCCATTATACTCCCCGTGTAATCCAAGCTCAACCAGAGCGTCGAGCGCAGACGCAGGTTCTAACCTGTCCCATTCTTCGCCGTTGGTTTCCGGAACGGGCATGTACGGTGTCACTATAACATCAGCCAACGGGAACGCGAGGTTGCTGGGGAGTAATTGAAGAGCCTGGTAGCCGTCGGAAGACGATTAGAATTGGCTACGGAATACGTACTCACCTGCGTCTTCAGGGATGTGGGTGCATTGGACGCCAAAGCAAGCTCTACCAAACACCGTATGAAAACATGAGTTTCCTGACTCTAAGAAAACACGTAAGGGGAAAATGTAAAACCGAGCCAAGGTGGTACTGACGGTGGTACCCTTTGAACCGATGAGCATTCCCATTATCCCAACCACCAGAGACGCATTGTTGGCTTTCTTCGAATCCCAGAATTGCAAGGCAAACTCTTGCGGTGGAGCATCCTGTTGCTGGAGTTTAAAGGGGAAGAGTAGAAAGGAGAATAACAAGGCTGGCAATGACGTCCCGCGAAAATAACTCTGAAGGTAGATCGTTGAACACTTACATCAGTCAAGTAGAAAAACACCTGCCTGGTTTGACGAGTTGAAACGCAATAAGCCGTCGACACAACGAAGTACGTCGTGAACTATCACGTCGCCCTCGATTCCGCCTTCCCGAGTAACAATCTCAAATAACTTTTCAAAAGCTCCTTCGAAGGCAAGAACCTTTTGGATATCTGGACTCTGTGACATCAAGGAATGGATCGTAGCAATGCTTTCTACAGAAACGTTTGTTAGCATGAATCACGTTCGCTTCGCTTCTAGAGACGCCGCGTGCTCAGGATACACGCAAGACCTCGCAAGCAGCACTCAGCACAGAGAATTTGCAACTCACCATTGCGGATAATTTCACGTCTGTCATCCACAACCGCTATGATACTCGAAGCAGCATTTGACGCTTTCAAAAAGTGATTCTGTACCACAGTCCGCTTGTTTTGCAAGAGAGTCGACAGCAACTGAAGGGTTGAATAGCGAATATAGAACTGCGAGTTGAGAAGTAACTTGAACAACGTGTGCGTAGCCTGCTCGTCCTTAAGGAAATAATCCGTATGTTTGAAAGATATCTCCCGGTCCTTCTCTTTATCTTTCGCTGTCTCGTCTACCTCACAGAGGTGATGCAACGTCTCGAGCACAGCCCTGCCCGTATCCGGGTCGACTTCGGCGTCATCTTGAAGGACTTGGATGAGACCTGGAAGCGCCCTGTCTCCAACATCTGCCTTGCAATCCCGAGTGAGACCCTTCAGAGCAAGGACTGCTGCACGTCTGTCAGCCAGAAGGGTTGAGGGAGACAATCGATCACTGAGTTTCGCGATGATGTCCACGGCCGACTGAGGAGCACCCGTTGGGCCACGTAGGGCAATGTAAGTCTGCGAAAAGAACTCCATCGGTGCTGCCTGGTGCCTTTGGGCTACTGGACACTGATGACCGTTGTCAGCGTGGAGCGGCACTAATACCAAGTGGCTTGGTAGCTTACAAACTTTACTGCAACTGAAATGTCGCGTCCGGAAGCACGTGACATGTTCAAACAAATCTAGTCGGACGATAGATGTTTTTGCTGAGACATATACGAGCAAAGACATAACAGCATCATTATCCAAGAAGCAATAATGCAGCCAGTAGGTACGTGATCGACTGAACATGGATGTCACTGGTGCGTAACCTCCCTTCAGTGAATTGTGCGGTCCTCACCGATGAGTGGTATGGACAGTGTGTTTGGAATTTGCAGAAAGTACTATCTCAAGAACTCGGAGAATTCGCTTGGCTTTCCCTCTGCGCATTTACATTAGCCGCGTCTTGTGTCTGGTAACATACCTTATGCAACCACTTCGACGGATCGTTCGGTGCAGACTTGATGAATCGCCTGTGCTACTCGATAGGCAACGGTCCTAACCGTCCCAAACTTATCCATTTACTAATCAAACACGTGGCGGCTGCGCCTGCCCAGGCCCACTTATACCGTGCTGAAATCTCGTGGTTCATAGGGCCTTACCACCTATATTCCACTCTCGCCGCCTTCGGGTAATACCTCAACGGTGGTGCAATGAATATTCAGAAACCATTCACTGAATTGAGCAAGCCACTGGAAGGTGGGCTCCTGGAAGACGCGGCCAAAGGGCCAACCGAAGCGATGGATTTAAAAGGCGGCTACCGTCCATCTTCCGGGTCATTGCAGGAATCCAAGGAAGTAAGTGTTGTCTGGTATTGAAAAATACCAGGTGAATACTGAGTCACAGCCGGCATCTAACAACCAGCAGGGGGAGGCGAAATTCGAGGAAATGATTAGGGGTCTCAGCGAGGAGTTTCGCAAACTCAAACTCGAGAATGTCCAGCTGAGAACTTCTACTCAAGACCTACTGGCAGAAAATGCCACCTTACGGGAAGCGATCCAGCAAGAACAAAAGGAGAACACTGCCCTCCAGCGAGCCCTTCGGAAGGAAGAGGAGGAAAGGTTGGTTGCACGACGTTTGTTAAACAGGGCACGGGAACGGCAAGAAGTGGTGCGCGTCATGGATCGACAAGCACGGACAGAGACGGATGCTCTAAGACGTCAATTATCAGCCAAGGAGTTGGAAATCAAAGCGATCAAGAGAGAACTGAACGAAATGGGGCCAGATTCACTCAAGGTTACCGGATTACCGCAAGGATGTCAAGCCAAGATGGCCACAGAGGGTGACGTCCATTCACTTTTGACAGCCCTCAACACAGAAATCATGGAGACGTGTTTGGCCATTGTCCATTCTGAATCCTTTGCCTTCGCACGGCAACCTACCAAAAACATCGATGAGGAATGTTTTGATATCATAACTGAACACTTCCCGGAATCTATGATGGGCTGGCTTCGTGAGCAACTGAGCAGCATCGATCACTTGGCATTAGAAATAGTGCTGAAGGACGCACTTGTGGCGGTATCATCCTGGGTCATCTCAGAACGGGACCCAGATCTTGCGGGCATCGAGCCCACAGGTAGGAAAGCACGTTTACTGAAAGCATGACATGGTGCATCTGACTTTCGCTCTCAGAGGTTCGACCTCCTAAGTTCTCTGATGGTACTACGGATCTATGGGGTTGGCTGGTGCACATCGCTGCCAGGGGCTCTCCATGCAATGCCTTGCGCCACACATTGCAACGGAGCATATCGAAAGTCCTTATCTGGACCGTGATGAGATCTGCCGGAGATGTTTCCAATGACACAGTCGTTCATGAATTCAGCCTCAAGACAAGTGAACAGCTGACCACGATCATCGACCTGGCTTTACGACTCAATGAGATCCTCAGGAGGGGAGGTGCGAAGGAGCTATGGCTACTCCGGGGTGTTCCTGGCGGGGAATTTGACTCCAACATGATGGACGACTTTGAAGGTCTTAAAGGGAACAACCAAATAAATGGCACCGTACTCGGTACAACGGCTCTTGGATTGTGCAGAGTTGTCATCCGCCGCGATATATACTCCGCCGAACTTCACCTCGATCCACTCATCAAGCCAAAGGTGGTCCTCAGGTCTTTCCTTGACAGTCTGCAGCCAGAGGACGAGGGCGAGGATGAAGATTTGGACGAGGCCCCAGTGGAAGATTTGGACGAAGAGAACGCGGATGAGGATCTGTCGGATGATGCAGAGGAGGCCTCGGTGGAAGATTTGGACGAGGCTTCGGTAGAGGACGCGGATGAAGATCTGTCAGATGATGCAGACGAGGCCTCGGTGGAAGATTTGGACGAGGCTTCGGTAGAGGACACGGATGAAGATCTGTCAGATGATGCGGACGAGGCCTCGGTGGAAGATTTGGACGAGGCTTCGGTAGAGGACGCGGATGAGGATCTGTCGGATGATGCGGACGAGGCCTCGGTGGAAGATTTGGACGAGGCTTCGGTAGAGAATGCGGATGAGGATCTGTCGGATGATGCGGACGAGGCCTCGGTGGAAGGTTTGGACGAGGCTTCGGTAGAGGACGCGGATGAGGCTCTGTCGGATGATGCGGACGAGTACTCGACTGAGGATTGGGGGTATCATTGATCCGGGAATTTTTGTAATCTTCACGATTTCATCGCGACTGTCGACTTCACGTTGTTATTCCTTTTCAGCCTTATGACCCGTCTCTACACCTGTTACACTACTTCTCAAGATTCACACTCTTTGTAGGGCTGTCGTTGAGGTTGCTCTCGCGTATCTGAATCAGTTCTGCGTCACACGTCTCAATCCAGCGAGAGGCTCTGATGGTATTGCTCCTTAACAGGTAAATCAAACATCTCTGGTAGTATATCGGATAGTACACCCGCCTGTCATCAGACCATTAAGACTGAGACCGCGGGAGAGCGGGGTTCGACTCCCCGCCAGAGAGATTTTTTAGTCGGACGTATCCTATATAGCCCTTGTGCCGACCGAACTTACGAGCCCGTAGTACAACCTTCTTACATAATTCCCTCTGTAGTTTGTTATGTACTGTGGGCGAGTACGCGCTTCTCGACATATTGCTAACTGATACTACCACCTAACAGAGTAGATTGTTATCTATTAAGACTCTACGGTATTTGAATTATACATTATCTATATCACTACTTATGGATTACTAGCAAGCCTACTGTTCCTCCTATTCAACCAAGCTCTCACTCATAGCCCACCTTCAAGGTGCAGCATCCGTAACAATCAGCACTTCCCTACCCGCATGCCAGAAGAAGACATGAGGGAGATTCTCTCTTGACGATGATACGAACGTTCCAGACGCTCTACGCCCAGCTCTTCACCCACGTTTGCAGCATCACAGCGAGGCCCGCATCATAACTCCCGCCACGAGCGCTACATGACCCACCAGCACATCATATAGTGCTTCCGCGAGTTCCCTCGGAGTTTCCTGAGGTACCTGTTTAAGAGGGGAAACGTACATTAGTCAACGTCATTGCGAGGCGCGAAGGGAGGGGCATTGAGGGGGCAATAGTAACCGAGGTGGGGGGGAAATACGAAGGGAGGGACTTACGAGATGGCCCGAGCCAGGGACAACACGGTTGGACCGGACGCGATAGGAGGTGGCCTCAAGGATGTCGGCTCTGGTAGATTTAGATCTACAAGAAAGATAGGAAAGGGATGACGATCGAACGCACGGCGCAACCAAAAAAAAAAAGCACGCACATGTATTCCTCTGACTCCGCCCACATAATATGCAGCCCGCCCAAAGCCGTGCACATGTGCGTAAGGTGCACAGGTTCGATCGTATGCTGCGAATGTGCGTACAGCGACGATTCCTCCTCCTTGCGAGTCATGGACCGCACGTAAAGCCTCGATTTTCTCGTCGCCATGGTCGAATTCGCAGACTCCTCAAGGGACGGGGTTGGCTCAAAGACGTCCTCGAGTGCGTGTTCCTGCGTAGAAAGCGTGTTAGAGTGATTGTCAAGGCTATGCAGGTGTGGTCCCAAACTATGTGGGATACGGCAACATACCACAAACAAGTCTAGCGCTTGATCATCCCAGTTCGACCATAAGGTCTTCCCTCTCGCCTTACCGTTGCCATTTATATTCCTTATATTCCTGTTCACACTCTCGACACTCCGACTTCCGCTCCCCGTCCATTTCGGACTGCCGTTAATATCGATACCTCTCTGCTTGTCCCGCCCAACCATGGGACTTTTCCCCTGGATACCTAATAACCAACACTTCGCTTCTGCACGATTTGTCCACTTATCCCGCTTCCCAAGTGCCCCGCGCATGTTTGCGGTGCTGTGTACAACTCGCGGGTCAGTAGAGGACATACCAGGAAACATGAGGACCGGCTCGATGAATATGAGAGCGAAGAGGTGTGGGTGGTCGTGGTCGAGGAGCGTGAATGCGTGTGCCCTAGGGTAGGTATTGTGTACGTTACGATTGCAGAGATGCGTCGAAGGGAGATGAGTCAGGGATGGAGGGAGATGAGAGAGAAGAGATGGAACATGCCATGGCGTACTGCTTCCTGAATGTGCAATGCCAACTACTTTATGGCCTCGTAGCTGTGGTATAGAGAGAAAGGCATTCAGATAGCTGGAAAAGTCCATCGTCGCTGTTCATTATCATAGTCAGGGACATGATCGACGGTATAGGTGATGACAGAAATGAATACGCGCTGCATTTCCCATCCCAGCCCTCTTTCCGCCCCCTCTCCCGCCGATCCTCGAGATATGTACGGTTTAAAACCGCACTTTCGCCGTGATTAGGCATGTCGATTGTCCATATTTCTTTAATCATGTTAACATAGCGAGTTCCAGCAGCGTTCAACTGCAAGAGATGCGCAATCATAGGTTGATAACTCTCCTTGTTTGATTCTGGGGGTTAAGCACATGCGATAAATATGTTCGGAGAGATACGTACGACTAGCCAATCCATGGGTCAGCACTAACGTCAACCCTTGTTTGCTTTTCGCAACCGGATATCTCAGTGCGGCACAGTACACCGTCACGTCCTCCTTGCCTGGCACCTTGTCTTGCAACGCGTCTCCAACGCACAGACCAAACGTGGTCCGCAATGAAAAGACGTGCCTCTCGGGAGTGAGATACTTCACTTTATCGACGCTATTCTGGTATGACTGTATCATTGGTGACAGCGTCTAGCCGGGAAATTTAAAGTTGTCGTTTGAAAGTCGGGATGGGTGTGCAAGTTGAACGAAGCAAAAGAAAGGAATCCATTAAGTATGCCCTATCGTAGGCGCTTCATTGGCCCAACATTGGATGATAAGTAACCCCCGAAGTCTACGAAGCGGTCCAGGAACCGCAGATGAAAAGCGATGCGATGTTACAGTTATCGTTATGCCCTGCTACGGTGGACCAGAACGATCAGTTTGCCTTCACAAAGGTTAAGGTAGATTTAGGGTGTATGGTGAATGAGGGCAACGACCTGCGTCATCGGGATGACGTCTTACTACTGCTTCCATTGCGCCCTGATCCGTCTCCGCTGGACACGACAGTGGATGTCCAGACAGCAGATTCGATACATAACAGTAGATCGGAAGTGTGTAGCCTGTCTCAACTGACGGCTATCGATCGCGGAATGCATGTTTTAGCATTGCGGCAGCAGGCCAGTGTTTGCATGCTACAAATGTGGGGTTTGAAGTAAGAAATCGTACCTTGTGCCCAGCTACCCACGTGGATGATGGCTTACAGAGGGACCGTGTATACCGGAATTCCATATTCCATTACATCAGACCGTTAGGCGTATCGAAGTGATTGAAACCGTCCTCGAGCAAGGTTTCAGGCCTGTCGGAGGCAGTACACGTCCGAGTCGTTCGAGGCTGCCAACCCTCGAAAAATCTGGCCAGTCCTCTGCCGAAGCTTCAAATGGCACGTAGGTGACACCAAAAACGAAAGAGCTGCCATCCTTTGCGATTTCTTATGTAATAAAGACTCTTCGATTCCGTCGTTCTTGGCGGTGTCGTATGGATGCTGGGCTCTGGCCAAGCCCACCTGGCTGAAGCTCCAGTTTGGCGTAACGGTTAACCCTGGGAGCAGGGACAGTACCATGACGAAGCTGTAGCGCTCAAGCTGCTGTGTCGAGAATGGTCCACCTTGGGCGGCCCATATGCTTCTTGTAACGGAAGGCTAGTAAGTACTATCTTCGATGCATTGTTCCTCAGCATATTATATTGTTTATCTCCAAGAGTGTGCATCAGAACTTATTTCATTGGGGTGAAAATACGAAACGAAACGACACAAGCTAATCTTTAGAGAACACCCCTTTCAAGTGCAACTTGGCCGACGCCCGAGACTCATCTGTAGTTGCACACGCCCCAAACAACAACCTACCTCCCTACACATCAGCATCCTCTCCACAGCAGCACGAACAGGGGGTGCGTGCGGTTTTCCAGCAGCGGGGGAATTGGAAGTGCAGAGAGGTTGATGAGATGACACATATTCGCAATGCGACCCTTTTTGAACCTCACGTCGCGGTAATTATATTTCAGAGTCATGACCTGGGGGCTTGGGGGGCAGTTACGGCTTAGCCTTGGCTAGAGCTTGATGGAATGGGATTTCTCCATCACATTTTTGCGAAGGACATCGGTATCCGCGACCGCTCCGCAATATCAAACGCCTCGTGACATGTCAAGCAGGTGAGGGCTATGGAACCGGACGATGTCCAGGATGAGCGTAACTTGTTCGCGCGCTTCTTTCTTTTGGGACGTCGGTCCTACCTTGATGAAGTACCTGCGCCAGGAGAGGGAAAGCGTACAAGAAGGGGGCAGCGTTAGACGCAGCTCGCTTCGAAATTGTCCTCCGACGATACAAGACCCGCCCGCAGTACAAGCGCTGAACGAATCAAGTCATCGCGGGAGCACGGGTCAAACAAAGGAGAACGTGCCATGCAGCTCTTCCGGCACGCAAGGAAACCGAAGCGCTCTGCTAAAGCAGAGCCCACCCACTTTCGTGTCATATCGAGCAGCAACAAGCACGATCCTAAAGTAGACTGTAAAGAGCAAGAGAAATCGCTAAGGAAAACCACCCATAATGAACGTCTCAGACACGGCGTTGCTAACCAATCTTGAACCTTGTCCTAAAGCCCCTTCCAGTACATCGCCGTAATCGGGGAATACGCACAGGCCTCTGAAACAATCACCGATATCACGCCCCTGACGAACGCATGGGCATACAGTCGACTCCCTCCTAACCCATACCCTGTATAACCCATACTCCCTGAGAACCCATAGCTTTTTGGATTTCCCAAGTTGGTTTGCAGGGATTTCACATATATAACCCATAACCCATAACCCATACCTATCTTGAGTGTGATAACCCATAGGGATAGTCGGATAATGCCAAGATGATACCAAATAAGGAAATGTTATTATCTAATTATCTATTTTTGCCAGCTGTGGTGACCCACCATGGCAACATATGTAAACCTGAAACTTTGACTTCTCCATCCAATCCCCATCACTATGAACCCTATCAACATTCTAAAAAAGGGCCTACAGACACTTCGAGATCAGACTCATGACCGGAGGGTCAGACTTGAGGCCCAGCTAAAGGAGAATAGGCCAATATCTGAGGTTGATGAAGAATGGTTGGATCACACTGGGAATTTGGTGGATGACGAGTGTGTGGTTGAGAAATTGGACAATGCTTCAGATTATGAAGCTGTTCTCGAGAAGTTAGATCAGCAAGAGATGTCTATTGTACAGAAGCTAACTGAGCTTGCTGGTGGGCAAACTGTTGCTTCAAAAAAGCGGAAACGTATGGCTCTCAAATTTTCGGTGTCCAGGAAGTGAGGTGAACTAAGTTTGTTACAGGTCCCAGTCCTACAAAAACATCTGCTGATCATGGGGGGTCATGCATGCAGCAGAAGGAACCCCAGAAGAAATCAAATGCCACACTTGAACAGCGAATA